AATATGTAATAGATTACATACCTCCTTGAATATTGATGACAGGAACTCAGTACCTCGATCCGTCGCTATCACCTTCGGTACTCCATACCTTAATATAAAATTATGAACTAACGCTTTTGCTACTTCTTCCGTTCTTTTTGTAACTAAGGGATATGCCTCAATGTATTTGGTGAGTTCGCACTGCAACGTGAGAATGTAACTATAATTATAATCATCTTTATCAAGAGGCCCTACCAAGTCAATATATATTTTTTCAAAGGCACTATGTGCTGTTGATGTTATTTCCATTGGTTGTTTGATATTGTGCGATGAATATTTTTGTTTCTGACATTTGTCGCACCTCTTTATAAACTCTTGGATATCATTTTCTAAACCTACCCAATAGTAATACTTTTTTATATTGTTGAACATCCGTCTCATACCCGCGTGGCCACTGGTGGGTAAGAGATGGAAATCATTCAGTATCACTCGTTTGTCATCTTTATTTTCTATACGCTGTACATCCTTTACTATATGTAAATGTGGACCGGTCCTTGTATTTAAATTATTTACTTCATTTAATAGCTTTTCTATAAAAATATTATTCTTATTCGTTTTTATTATATAAACTTCTGTAATACTTAGGCTTTCACAAAAATCATGTAACTCTCTCACAAATTCGGCTGGCGATATTTGCGATGGAGAAGATACATATTTAACAAAAACAGTTCTTTCATTAGGAATGTATATAAATGTTTTACTCTCTTTACCTATAACTCCACTTTTCCTAAATGTCTCTAATTTGCATGCATCAGCAAAACGTAATTCAACTGATTCGTTTAATGTCCTAGTATTATGACTGCTTACAGCATTTGGCTGATCAGACCAAACTGTAGGCGTGTCACAAAGTCCTATCTTGGAAGTATTGTCAATTAGGTTTCTCTTTTGAGCCCTAGTCATAACCGAAACACACGACTCGTGCATATGTTTTAAATCATTACATGTTATGGAAATTCGAGACAATGCGTCTGCAGCCGCATTTTACGAACCCTTAACATATTCTATCGTAAAGTCATATTCTTCTAATAACAACCTAAATTTAAATAATCTACTTGACGGATCTTTCATGCTAAATAATGAGACTAAAGGTCTATGGTCGGTGAAAATTTTGAAATGTTTTCCGTATAAGTATGGGCGAAAATGTTTGACGGCCCATACTATAGCCAGCAATTCTTTGTCGATTGTCGGATAGTTTATTTCCGATTTGTTAAGTGTCCTACTGGCAAAAGATACAGGCTTGCCATCTTTGTTTGACAAAACTGCACCAATTGCGTACTTAGAAGCATCCGTCTGAAGATTAAACTCATTTTGTTCTGAAAAATCCGGGTATTGCAAAACCGGTGGAGATATGATTTTTTCTTTTAGCTTATCAAATGATGACTGACATTTTTCATCCCATATAAAGGTAGCATTTTTACAACACAATTTGTTAAGTGGGTAAGCAAGCTCAGCAAAGTTGGGAATGAATTTCCTATAGAAATTAACAAATGCAACAAACCTCCTCGTTTCGTGTACATTAGTTGGACATGGATAATTTTGAACAATTTTAATTTTATCCGGGTCAGGTAATACACCATTTTTAGATACCACATGGCCTAAATATAGGAGTTCCTTTTTTAAGAAGTTACATTTCTGTGGGTTTAATTTTAAATTAATTTTTCTCAACCTTTCAAAAACGTCTAGCAGATTTTTGTTATGACTATCTAAATTTCTGCCAAAAACTACCAAATCGTCTAAATAAACTAAACATTTTTCATATGTCAGGCCAGACATAGCCATGGTCATCATTCTGGAAAATGATCCTGGACTTGTCTTTAAACCCATTGGCATACGGGTCATTTGGTATTGACCTGAACAGAATGCGGTGTACTTCCTGCTTTCCTGTTCCAGTTCAATATTATAATAACCTTGATACATATCTAAATGTGAAAAATAAACTGAGCCAGATAGCGTATCAAGTACTTCGGTAATATAAGGAAGTGGGAAACGGTCGTCTTCAATACAATTATTGAGTTTTCGGTAGTCAATAACTAGCCGCCACTTTTTCGGACTTGTACCATCTGACTTTTTTGGAACTAGCAGTACTGGACTTGACCATTCGCTACGACAAGGTTCGATGATACCTTCTTTTAACATTTTATCAATTTGTTGCTTAATTTCTCCCTTCTGTGAGTGTGGTAAACGATACGGTTTTGTAAATACAGAAGATACATTTGGTTTAAGCGTAATAGAATGTTTATAAATACTGGTTGTAGTTAATCTATCTCCTGGTAAATAAAAAATGTCTGAGTACTTTGCGCATAATTTTTCAATCGATATTTGCTCCTCCTTATTAAGATGTTTAAGGTTCAGTACTGAAAATAATTGTTTTACTCTACTAGCATCACGCTGTGATTTATCAAAATTACAAACGTTGTACAAAGATATTTTTTCTATACACGGATTAATGTCTGTCAATGTACATGACCTATCAGTTGTATTTAATATCTTTATCGGTATTCGACCATTAACTGGTGTTGCTATACAACCTGCCAAAAATATTCCATCACTAATTTCCTTAGAATGTACTACACATTCTTCTGTAAAATCAGTCTTCAAATAATGAATGGATTCACATCTTGGAAAAATTTCAATTCCGTCATTATGAATCAATAAAGGTAAAACTATTTTCAGATTACTCTGAGTCAGCAATGTTATGGTATGGTTACTAAAATCTAATATGGAGCTATGTTTATTAATAAAGTCTTGCCCGATGATGCCATTAGCCCGACATGGCAAAGTATCGAAAACATAAAACTTATTACGTTTCAGGTGATGACCACCCGCAGATAACGTTAAACAAACATATCCTATTGCATGGACTTTGCCACCAATTCCATTTATGACAATGTCCTCTTTTTGGACTGGAATGTTTTGTTCTAGCACATATTCATATTTTAAGGCTGAAATTGTAGCACCGGTGTCAACTAACCAAGAATATGTTTTGTTTTTACAAGATAATTTAATATAATAGTTAGTATCAGTTGCGAAAATAACTTTGTTATTCACGAAAAAACTCATTTTCAAAAACCTCATTTTCGGAGCTTGTTAGAACATTAACCGCGTGTCTATTCGCTTCTACGGGGGGTTGGCTTATCCCTTGGTTACTACGGTTTCTATAATATGACTTACCTCTACCGCGCCATGGTGATCCTCGGCCTCGTTGTACTGCCCCGCGGCTCTGCTGATATGTCTGCTGCCCCCCTCGATGATTGTAATAGCCTCGACGAACACTGAAATCATTGTTACGACCCCTATTATAATATGTCCGGTTATAATTATTGTTCACGTAACGTCCACGGTTGTGTTGTTGTCGTCCTCTAGACGAATACATACTTAATATCTCGCCGGACCCCGAATAAGAGCCGGTTATGGATGTTTCTTCAACCTTCGCACCTTGTATAGCGTCCTTCATCGATCCGTAGTTTCTAGCTGTAATAATAGTTGAAAGACGGCGGTTTCGCAAGCCATCGGCAAATCTTTTGATAATCATCTTTTCATTCAAGGGTTTAATCATTTTATATGTATCTAAATTACCTTCGGCTTGCGATACCGTCAGATCCACAAAAAGTTCCGAAAGTTGGTTACCATAGTCCTGAACTGATAAATCATTTTGTTTTAATTGATTTATTTTGTTTTGATTGCAAATGGTGACTTTTGGGGCAGTAAAACTGTACGCATATCACTTATCATATCGTGCACACTCGCATAATCTGTCTGCAACTGCAATTTAGCGTGCTGAGACAACCTACTTTTCAAAACAAACTGTACTAACTTCTTTTTACACTCATCACTAGCCAATAGCGAGCTGTAGTACTCTATATTATCAATTAATTGTTTAAGCGAACATTCATTATCATTTGTCATCAAAGGTACTAAAGTAAGAGCTACTTTCAGATTAAAAGATTCCATTTTTGTATCCTCACTGCTACTCGTATCTGACATAGCACATAAGTCTAAAATTTGTTTATACAATGATTCAAAATCGATACAAAATTTATCTATTAATATCTTTTCACTTTGTCCTATATTTCCTTTCTTTATATCGTCAGTAATAATCTTTATTATATCAATATATTTGTCATAAATTTCCTTTGATTCACACAACTTTCTTTCTAAAACATTTCCTTGCCTACGTTTTGGACCTATTTTGATTAAATATGTTTTAATACATTTCAATTCTTTATAGCAAAGTTCCAAGACATCTGCCATCACTAACCATTATTAGTTTTTTAAACACTACGAATAACATATTATTAACTATGATTACGCACTTAACAAATAAAGTTCAAAGTCCATTCAACGATGCCTGTGTCTTCATAAGTTTAAGATTCCCGTACTATAGCATATCAGTTTATATTTTATTTCCGCACTGAATTTACCGAATTTATCACTTTAACTTTTATCACTATCACTTTTTGCCACTTTCACTTGAATATGTTGGGTAACGCCTATTTTTGTTGCTGTCATACTATTTCAGCTTTCGGCCGTCCTTTCTCTGGGCAAGGTCCTGATTTCCTCGCTCCAGATCTTCTAGATAACGCACTCCTGTATAACTCCTGATTGATCCAACGGACGTGACAACGCCGATACATGCGTAGAAGAAAATATAGCACGCCGAGTCCCAGAACCAGTGTTATAATACTCATCAGTATGGTGATGGTAGAAATATGAAATCTCACCTCCTCTAGTTGCGTATTATTTGTCCCTCCGGCTGCGTTTTGTACCACGACGGTCTCTTCTTTAGTTTGCGTACCTCCCATTTTTAATAGACACGATATTCGGTATTATATCGTAAGCACCGAACTGAATTCGACTTGTTGCAGCCGCGAACGCAATCAACGTTACTAAATAATTATAATCCATCTTAGCTCGGCTTTACTGGTATTGTTTTAGTTTAACAGTCCCTATATGGTACAGCGATGTCGGTAACGCGATCGCACAGCGATGCGCGCTGGCAGGATCGCCATGTAAGGTTGAAGGTATTAGCGGAGAGAAATGATAGTCACGGATGCCCAAATAATACTGTCCTTTATTGAATACTATACATGATTAATATAATTGATTGATTACACACACAGATATAACATACATCGACATATTACTACACATACCTACGCTACAGCTTGTTCAAGGCGGATTGGCGATTCGAAACTTGAAATCAGAAAAAGTCCAGAATTCCTCACGATGTTTTCCTTCATCGGATGTCAGTGGTGTCTAAATAGTCATCAAAAGTACATATAACTCAGAGAAAGTCACATTGGTACTTGCCAGGTTTCGGACCAGCGCTCTCATGGATGGGAAGGGGGTATCTTAACCTTCGGGCCACCCTCTCGCGCCCGGCCTTAGTCGAGGCCATGGTGCGGAGTGAGAGGAACTGGGACGCCGTCTCCTCCTTTTGTGAAGCGGTCATGCTCGCAAAGAGAGAGGCGGCCCGCGTGAGGGAGCAATCCTCCTCCTCACGCCCCAGCAGCCGCAACTGGCGACACTACGGGCGTCGGGGATCGAGGGACGATCTCCGGCCACCGTAAGCACGGGCCTGCGGTCGGCGAGTAAGGGCAGCTCGCCGCCCGACCAGAACCAGGCCCGAGCGTACGGCGCGTAGCGTTCCGCGCGCGCCTCAAAGAGCCATTCGACCACCACAGACGGGGCCCTAAAGGGCTGATGTTCAGCCGGGGTTGCGGGGTAAGCGCAATGAGGTACATGGGGGTTTTTAGTCAGTAAGAGTCTGACACTCCCTCCTGCCCGGCCCTGGGCGGGAGAAGTCATTTGATGACCTTCCCCTCACAAAAAAAAAAAAAAAACCTTCGGGCCACCAGGAACGTTAGTCGGACTCTTACCGACTAAAAACCACCTCCTCTTCCAAGCCGACGCCTAGGTGTATTATTGCGCTTCACCTGAAACCCTGAACATCAGCCCTGTTGATCACATCTGTGGCCGTGGTCTAGATTTTCTATCACCATCACACCTTGACCTAATTCATAGAACTGATTCAAGTTCGCGTTCTAAATGACAGTTGAAGGCTACGTCTAGATCTAGATCGTGTTGTTCTGTTATATTAATATCTAAGAAAGTTAGGTAAATAGGTCATTGTAAATAGTCCGTACATTGAAAATTAGTTTAAATAGATTTCTATTCAATACGAACTTACACTTAAATATATGCCTATATAAGATGCGTTGTGGTGGCCCGGAGGTTAAGGAGCCCGCTTCTCATGCATGAGGGTATGAAACCTGGCAAGTACCAATGTGACTTTTTCCGAGTTATATGTACTTTCTATGATTATTTAGACACCACTGACGTACGGTGAAGGTAAACATCGTGAGGAAACCTGGACTTATAATTTCTAATTCTAAGTTTGAAATCGCCAACCCGCATTAAGCAAGCGTGGTGATCAATGCTCTAACCTTCTCCGTATGAAAAGAGGTCTTTGCTCAGCAGTGGGCACTTATAGATTGATGATGAATATATAAGAGGCGGCACGAACGGCGTAAGCTCTATTGGAGTGATACAGCAGTCTCACAGAAAACCAATTTGAAACAACGCTCTCTTCTGTTTCTCTATCTCCCGTTCTGTTTCTGTGAGCAAGTAATATTACTGGAGAACTAATTCTTCTTCCTGTATCCTATTTGAACTCTTTATCAAGAATTGCTTTTAATCACTTCTCAATACTACTTTAAAGGGCTGATTTTTCAATAGTCAGATAAATGTTATCTGAAGAATAAAATTGTTGCTGTCACTGTCTTATAGAAACATTCTGACGCGACAGCATCATAAATATTCCCCAGGTAACTTTTATGTAACCATTGAAAAATCAGCCCTAAGAATATATTAATAATTGTATTTCTATTATTAAAATTTCAAATATAGTGTTACCGTAGTGTCGTGGTGGACCGGAGGTTAAGGCGTCCGCTTCTCATGCACGAAGTGCGGGCTCGAGACCTGGTTATAACCGGTGTGCTTTTTAAGTTAAGTTAGACATCACTGAAAAATGGTGGAGGACGATTTAAATTAATTTAGTCTGGCAAACAGTGACAGAAAACAACGTGAGGAAAGCTAAACTTAAACCAATTACAGATTGAAATTTGAAAAAAGAATTGTGCTGAAACCTTTTTCGTGTAAGAAGAGGCCTTTGTTCAATAGTGGCCACTTTTAATCTATTGACGATGTTTTTTTTTTTATTTCTTTCTTTACTTTTACCTTCTCTAACATTTTATACCTCGGGGTCGTCGCTTTAGTCAATACAAAGAGCTAGTAAGTAGATTTGCGGATCCTGCACAACGCGAGCCCGCGGCTTCGGCTGTTTTATTCAATTACATACATCCTGTATGCCGAGTATAGGTTATGCTTCCATAAAATAAGAAGGAAAGATCATGAAAGTAATCTAATCAGCTTCATGTAGTTGTGGATGTAGACTTTTGTTAAATAAACTTCAAAATAAATATAAATAAATGTGGTAGGCAACAGTCTAGTTTTTCCATTTTTAATTTTATACAGAGTAAATGACTTAGGGCTTTTCTGGATGATACAAGCTTTTTGTTTACAAATTAATTTTAAAGCAGATATACATAGTCTATCGTTTAGTTTGCATAATAAAAATGCTTAGCTATAAATTTGTTCTGATAAAAGTATGATTTAAAAAAACGTTTTTAAATATATTATATTTATCCTAGTCGAGGAATTTTCCATGCTTCGGCACAAATGGGTCGGCTTGACTGGAGTGACCACAGACAGCCTGACAGAAAATCTAACGGTGTGAATTGTGAAACAACCATATCGTTGTGTTTCATCATCTGAATGAGTTATTGATCTCAAGGAATTGGAGATGGGTTAGGGAACCCCAATCTCCAATTCTCTTACAATTTCACTACTACTCCTACTACACTACTACTTTCTACGATGGCATTTTCGACTCCTCTGATGCTGTAAGTCCATGAGCGGCGCAGACTGCTTACCTACCATCAGGTTAACAGATGGCTCGTTTGCATCTATAGGTATTTAAAAAAAATACTCATATAAAAATACTACCAAACACAAGTTCCACTAGATACGAAAATGACTGAACAATTTTCCATTTCCCACATTCTGAGAAGGTGGAACTAACAAATCTCTTAATCGGTAACAGCGATCCCGAGGTAGGTACGGTACCCAATGAACCGTGAACATTTTTATGGTGGTGTTAATTGAGCGGCTGGCGCAGAAAGCAATAAAAGTTATTAATTGGTTCCAGCCATCCAACCCAACGGAAGTTGTAAATACAAGGCTACTATATCCGGTCAATCGACACGCATCGTGCACACGCCTTTTTCCCGGAAACTTTGGAAGATGTATGAACACATTTTTAGGGTTGTGGCTACAATAGCAATGAGGGATATAGTGTGGAATGGGTAAGCTCGACCGGAGTGATACTAAGGCCTTACACAAAACAGACGTGAAGGAACCAACCAACTAAAAAGGTTAAGAAGCAATTATGGTTGGTTAACCTTTTTTATTAAATATTTAGTTATTGGAGGCCCAATTCGTCCACCTCCTATATATCCTCAATCCATAAATCCTCTATCGTTAAATCTTAATCCACAAGAGGCTAGCAACGCACTTACAGTCTTTGGTAATACGAGTATCCATCGGCGAAGCCAATTACTTAACCTTATGTAATCCAAAAATAATCAAACAAACAACCACAGCGTTGTATTTCGCCATGTGATTGAGGTTACCGAAGGCCCAATCTTTCCCCTCCTCCAATCCTGCTCCAATACAAAAATCTCCAAGTCTCTAATCCCCAAAAGGTCGGCAAAGCACTCGTAACTCCTCCACTGGGTAATCTTGCTCATGAGTTTCTGTGAGGCCGTGGTGTCATTCCGGTCAAGCCGACCCGTTCGTACAAACTGCTGTCGTGCTGAACAAAGATTTCCGTAAACCGATTCGTTAAATACTGTTAGATTACAAAATCAAATCTCAAAAACAATCTCAACAATCTCAAATCATCTCAAATCTCAAATGAGAATTATTTTAACGATCTGTTCTAATCCTTCAATGAACTTCGTTGAAATTGAAAGTAGGATGCGCGTTTTGGAAAAATTATCTACCTATCTTCTTTTCACGATATTATTACTTCCTTTTGTTTATTTTCTTTAACTGACTTACACTGTAAGGAGCCTCAGTCTCTTACTAAGTAAAAAGTGCTATGCCGAAGTCGCGGTTCCTTATTGGTCTCCATTATTGATATTTATTGGAAAATAAATACAGTTGTCCAAGAACCGAACCCGATATCCAGTACTCTACCAGTCAAGTATCAAGTCCGTCTAACATCTGTCAAAATCATACTACCAAGAATATCCAATAATTTGAAATAATAATCAACTAAATCCTTGTTGGAAGTCGATAGTAATTACTGTAAATAACATTGGATTGAGGTTATTTCGTCCAAATTAGATTTAGCTAAGAGCTTTCCATTGTTTTCCGGATTTAGTATCTTTATATAATGCTCGTCCAATAAGTAGATGGACCGGGAACGCAATTATATTACTGAACGCTACAGGATTTTGGCTTTAAACTGATTTTGGCTATTATTGGAACTTATTACTATCGCCAAACAAGGTATCTTAGTTTGAATCGGACAAAAATTGTTCAGTATCCGCATGTAAATAATCTGAAATTATACTTAATATTACTTTTTCTGAAAAAGTTTCTAGGCTTCGCTAAGGAAAATCTCCACCTATGCGTGCGAGAGCCATAGTTCGGAACGAATGGGCCGGCACAACCGAAGTGACGTCACAGTCGCTAACAGCGTGAAACAACACTTACGTTGTGTTTTGCCGTATAAGTGGCCCGCAGGCCCAAGTCTTGCACTCCCCCCTCCCTCCATCCTTCATCCCCAAATTCCTAAACCTACGTTCAGTATACACACGTATAGTAGTGCAAATTACTGTTGCAAAAACAACGAGCGTTGGGTTTCTTTTTCCGCTTCCCCTATCCCATTCAGATCCTTAAATCTCCTGGACCCTAATCCCTAAAAGGCAAGCAACGCACTGGTCATTGATCCCTGGTGGTGTGGGTATTGTAGGTAGCGGCGCCGATTGCTTACCATCAGGTAATCCGTCATCTTATTTGCAGTTATATCCCCTAAAATGACGATAGGTGCATAGAAAACCGGCGTAAAAAGACTTCTGCGTTGTTTCGACTCATACTTTACCTAAGTCTTCCATGTCATCAATCTCCAATCACCTTATTTCTATTTCTATACCTAAATTCAGATTCCTAAAAGGCCAATTACGCACTTGTGACTCTCTAGTGTTTTGTTTATAGTGGGTGGCGCTGATTAAAAGCCAGCAGCTGAGCCATCTAAAAAAAAAATCAATGGTTATGATCGTAGACATGTTGATGTTCCACCTGTCTTTAAGAGTCAAGGAGTGAGAAGTGAAGTGGTATACTTTCTTTGATCTGGTCGTAAGTTCGAGCTGCGTCAACCTTCGTTGTCGGAAATCACTGTAATGGATGAGTTTCCTCAGGGCTGGTACGCAATGGCAATTTTTTTAGGTATTTTTTTTTACATATTTTTTTAACGAAATATTAATTCTATCTTTGACTGATGTAACTGGGTAAAGTAATAAATGGCGTGGTGGCCCGGAGATTAAGAAGCCTACTTCTCATGCATGAGGGTGTTGGTTCGAAACCTGGCAAGTACGAATGTGTAATGAAACCTGGACTTATAATTTCTAATTACAAGTTTGAAATCGCCAACCCGCATTGAGCAAGCGTGGTGATCAATGCTCTAACCTTCTCCGTATGAGAAGAGGCCTTTGCTCAGCAGTGGGCACTTATAGGCCGATGATGATGATGATGATGATGAAAGTAATAAAGTACAATTTTGCCATTACCTTATCCTCAACAGCATTGATTGGATTCTTCTTTAACTGTGTTGTTTTACAGTTTCTGCCAACCTTTTGAAATTGTAATTTCAAAAATTTCACATCACATATATCATATAACGTTTAAATAAATTTTACAGAAAAGACTGCACAGAATTGGCTACAGCGCAACGTGTCGCGCTCGCGTCGCACCCCCAAATTGTTGTTCCGGGTCTGGCTGTGATATGTATGTGAAATTGTATTGTTGTAACGCACCTATGACTCAGGAGAAAATCCTAGTGTTGGACAACGTTTCTTAAAAATAAAAGAAAAAAACTTTAACTCGATCTCATCATCAATGCCTCCATGCACTGACAGCCCTAAGTAAGTCCCGTGTCTGCGGCTAATAGATAACCATTACTGGGCACTTGTCCCATAGAGCAAAGCACTTCAGAATACGAAGTGACGATATCTTACACATTTTGCGAAACGCACAAATAACTACGTTGGATGAGGGCTCGCAAACGCTACTGTTGAACAAGGTCTGATTTCAGGGACGAACTATATTTAAATTTAAGTATGAAGTAAACACGGGCTGACTACCTACCTACCTACTACAGCTGATTTAACAATCTCAGTAACAATACGTTCCGAAAAGGAAACAAACTTTTCGAAGTAAGTAATTATAAAGTCATGTCAAAAAGTCAAAAATCAAAAACATTTATTCCAACTAATCCATAAATAGATACTTTTAAAATGTCGAAATATTATATTTGTCTGTCATCATGACAGTCTGTTCGTCAGTGAAGTTAGGTGCTCGTGCCAAATTGTAGATTCGAATGGAGAAGAACGAGCAAGAAACTCCATCGTTACCCTTTTTAAAAATATTTGTTTTTTGCCATATGCATGTACTTTGATTTGCTTTCTTCACCGATTTTTTATGAACACCAGACGATTATTAATTTGTTGCCGGCCCTTTGGAAGTTGTGAAGGATTTGAGGATTGAGGATTTGAAGATCATAAGACGGCACCAGAGGGTCAATGGCCTCTGGAAACCTCACGTACGCAGTGAAACTTGACGCGAATGTTGCTTCACGTCGGTTTTCGTTGAGGTAGTGGTATCACTCCGGCCGAACCAACCCATTCACGCCAAAAAAATTTAATATGTCGCATAAGTGCATTAGTTTTGCTCGAAATTTTAGTTCTTTTTTTTCTAAATTATGTTCGATTCGCATCTAGTTAACTGGCTATCTAAACACGACCGACTCGTAGGCGGCGTTACATCACACTGATAAGGTCGCTCACTCACTCAACGGAAATTAGATTTTTGTCTACCCTCCTTTGTTAAACCCATTTAACATAACCTAACAACCTTTTACATCATGTTGTTACGTCACTGAACATTTTTAATGAGAACTTCGATAGACAAGTCGCAGAGATAGCTATTAAGGTTTTTTCTCAGACTTTGTGGAGAATGACAAAGTATGAAAATTAAAAAATCAATTAAGTTCGATATTTAAACGTCATTTGAAATCTTAGACACATATGTATATCTTTTGTGTATTTTAACCGACTTCAAAAAAGGAGGAGGTTCTCAATTCGACGCGTATTTTTTTTAATGTATGTACACCGATTACTCGAAGACGCCTGCAACGTGCAACTTTTTTTTTTTTGCTTGGGTTACTTGCTATTTTGTCCCATTGTCATGAGGTCAGGATCTGATGATGGAATCCTGGAGAAATCGAAGTGAACTTTCAAAAATTGTACGGGCGAGTAGTTCTTTTGTATGATGTAGGCCTTTTACAATACTACAACTTGACGAAGGTGGATGTCGACCTGATGTTGGAGCTGGAAGACAGTCGAGGACAAGACTGGTAGTGACTGTCATTAGGAGTCTGAGGATGAGAACGAAGTACAGCTCAGAAAACTCCTAAACGGTTTACAGTAACTACCTCGTGTTTGGACTTAATTCATTTATATCGATGAAAACTTTGCACCTATATGGGTCACAACAAAGTTATGTAGTAAATCTGATGATGGAGCCGGAAACCCGTCTTGAGATATTTGACTATTTGGAGTAATTATGTTGTGTTTGAACTTAATCTATATAAAAGAAAGTCGTGTTAGTTACTCCACTTATAACTCAGAACGGCTGAACATATTTGGCTGAAAATTGGTAGGGAGGTACCTAAGACCTGGGAGAAGGACATAGGATAGGATAGTAGGGTGAGGGTGGAGTAGGTAGGGTAGGTTGGGTAGGTAGAGTAGGTAGGGTAGGTAGAGTAGGTAGGGTAGGTAGAGTAGGTAGGGTAGGTAGAGTAGGTAGGGTAGGTAGAGTAGGTAGGGTAGGTAGAGTAGGTAGGGTAGGTAGAGAAGGTAGGGTAGGTAGAGTAGGTAGGGTAGGTAGAGTAGGTAGAGTAGGTAGGGTAGGTAGAGAAGGTAGGGTAGGTAGAGTAGGTAGGGTAGGTAGAGTAGGTAGAGTAGGTAGGGTAGGTAGAGAAGGTAGGGTAGGTAGAGTAGGTAGGGTAGGTAGAGAAGGTAGGGTAGGTAGAGTAGGTAGGGTAGGTAGAGTAGGTAGGGTAGGTAGAGAAGGTAGTGTAGGATAGGTGGAGTAGGGTAGGTAGAGTAGCGGAAGGTTGTTTAGGATAAGTGGAGTAGCGTAGGTAGAGTAGGATAGGTAAAGTAATGTAGGTGAGGTACGGTAATTAGAGTAGGATGGTAAAGTAGGGTAGGTAGAGTAGAAGAGGTGTTTTTTGGTATGTACTACTTATATGTATACTTTTTAAGTTGGATTTTCTTATTTATTTGTTCTCAAGGCGAAGGCGAAGGTGAAGGTGAAGGTGAAGGTAAAGGTAAAGGTGAAGGTGAAGGTGAAGGTGAAGGCGAAGGAGGAGAAGGCCAAGGCGAAGGAGAAGGCGTGAAGATGAAGGCGAAGGCGAAGGCGAAGGCGAAGGCGAAGGCGAAGGGGAAGGCGAAGGCGAAGGCCAAGGCGAACGCTAAGGTGAAGGCGAATGCGAAGGGAAGGTGAAGGTGAAGGTGAAGGTGAAGGTGAAGGTGAAAGTGAAGGTGAAGGTGAAGGTGAAGGTGAAGGTGAAGGTGAAGGTGAAGGTGAAGGTGAAGGTGAAGGTGAAGGTGAAGGTGAAGGTGAAGGTGAAGGTGAAGGTGAAGGTGAAGGTGAAGGTGAAGGTGAAGGTGAAGGTGAAGGTGAAGGTGAAGGTGAAGGTGAAGGTGAAGGTGAAGGTGAAGGTGAAGGTGAAGGTGAAGGTGAAGGTGAAGGTGAAGGTGAAGGTGAAGGTGAAGGTGAAGGTGAAGGTGAAGGTGAAGGTGAAGGTGAAGGTGAAGGTGAAGGTGAAGGTGATGGTGAAGGTGAAGGTGAAGGTGGCGGTGAAGGTGGCGGTGAAGGTGGAGGTGGAGATAGAGATAGAGATAGAGATAGAGATAGAGATAGAGATAGAGATAGAGATAGAGATAGAGATAGAGATAGAGATAGAGATAGAGATAGAGATAGAGATAGAGATAGAGATAGAGATAGAGATAGAGATAGAGATAGAGATAGAGATAGAGATAGAGATAGAGATAGAGATAGAGATAGAGATAGAGATAGAGATAGAGATAGAGATAGAGATAGAGATAGAGATAGAGATAGAGATAGAGATAGAGATAGAGATAGAGATAGAGATAGAGATAGAGATAGAGATAGAGATAGAGATAGAGATAGAGATAGAGATAGAGATAGAGATAGAGATAGAGATAGAGATAGAGATAGAGATAGAGATAGAGATAGAGACAGAGACACGAGTCATTTTTTAAACGTAGGTTTTTTATCGTAATTAAACATTGCAATTTTGCAAAAATCCAAAAAAAATACAATGAATAGATGACCTGTTTTGGTTGTGTTGGCAATTTCAATTTCGATAATTTTGGTCTTAAAATAATAAAAGTCCAGGGAAAGTTTAAAGGATCAGAAAACATTAGATAATTTGGAGGCAGAGACAAGGTTTGCCTGGTCAGTGATACAACACGAGACACGAGATGAAGCTAAACTATAAAAAAACAATACATTGATATCAAAGCCAACGATAAAGAGGCTTTTCGAATCGTATTCTATTTTAATAATAAAAGGTTGGCTAAAAAAACCTTGTATCGAATTTGCGTAAAAAAAAAACGCATATAAATATTCTTAATAATTTTCATTTCGTCATTGAACACAATTATAAAGTGAATTGAACTTTAATATTATAAAGATATAGTCTATTATAATAGAGAACGAACCCGTTACTACACACCAAACACTAGCCCCCTAATAATAATTTACAAAACAAGAAAATATCTTTAGTTTAAGTTTAAACCATCGAGTCAGGTTTTGAATTTGGAATCTTATTCTCTCTACAATTCGAAATACAACAACTGGCTCAATGGTTTAGACCTAGATATTAGAAAAACCTTGTTTTAATCTCAATAATATAATAACTAACAAGCCAAACCCAAAAAAATGCCAGCCGTGACACAAAATCAAAACCTCTTTACATGGCACTGGTTGGCTCTTGGCCGTAACTAAGAACAATCATCATCATCAGCCTATAAGTGCCCACTGCTGAGCAAAGGCGTCTTCTCATACGGAGAAGGTAAGAGCATTATAAATCACCACGCTTGCTCAATGCCGGATGGCGATGTCAAACTTATAATTAGAAATTATAAGTCCAGGTTTCCTCACGATGTTTACCTTCACCGTATGTCAGGGGTGTCTAAATAATCATAGAAAGTACATAATAACTCGGAAAAAGTCACATTGGTACTTGCCAGGTTTCGTACCCTCATGCATGAGAAGCAGGCGCCTTAACCTCCGGGTCACCAATATTTAATGTAAATGACAGAGTGATTGGTATTCGAAAATAAATTTTCGTTTTCAGTACGGTAGGTACTTAACCGGGTTTTTCTTTTTTATTTTGATCAGGATTAATTTGTAAAAAGTCACATTGGTACTTGCCAGGTTTCAAACCCACACCCTCATGTATGAGAAGCGGGCTCCTTAACCTACGGGCCACCACGACATGCTAAGAACAATATTAATTAAAAACATCCCTAAGTGCACAACTATCGATATAACTATACAATAATATCGGTGGGGTGGCAAGTGGGTTGGATGGGGGTAAAAGTGGGGTTTGTGGGGTCGGTGTGACGGTGGCGGGGCGGCTCGACGCTCATTTCTCAGGTTCGACTTCCAGTATTGATATTGCACCGTATTACGCGCCAAAAGCTTCTGCCATCCATAGACTGATCAATGATTAGAGTTCGCATATATTTATTTACTAGCTTCCGTCCGCGGCTTCGCTCGCATGGTATGTTGATAAAAAGTAGCCTTCGTCTTATTTCGGAGTGTATCTTATGCCTGTGATAAATTTCATCCATATCCGTCAAGCCGTTTTGACGTGATTGAGTAACAAACATTCAGACATCCACACATTGCATTGCATTTATGATATCATTAAGATTACTTGTTGACCTGGTGACCTCAGTACAGTACGACCACAAAAATTGTCATAATATTTTGTTCTTTGTCTAATATTTAATGTAAATGACAGAGTGATTTGTATTCGAAAATAAATTGTCGGTTTTAGTACGTACATAGGTAGGTAGTACTAGGTAGGTACTTTATTTGATTTTTTTCTTTTGATTACGATTAATTTGAACGAGAATGTTCTCCTGTGACGTGGAGCGTTTTTTTATAAACATTTTAATTATGTAGATATTACATAATTTACTGGAATGAATGGACTCAGAAAATCAATTTTTGTATCACAAAAAAGGCTAGTTCCGATCGAAAATTGATCCCGTCGCACGTCGCGCAACAACTAGTTTCTAAACACCACAACACACGTCAACCGAGAAAGAAATTATTTGGAGTTTTACACAACATATCTGTTTCATAATCAGAATCAATCGAAATACGAGGTGGAAATAACCTATAAATAGAAATACTACCTTTTTTGAAAGGGGAAAATCATCAAAATGTTCTCTCTCGCCCTGGATGGGGCGAGAAAGTATGACTCTCTCTTCTCTCTCTCTCTCTCTTTCTGACTAAAAACCAAATCGTTCTTTCTTCTGCTCCAAGCTGGAGCCGTAGTGTATAATTGTGTTTGCACCCTCAACCGTGGCTGGGTATCAACACGAGTGGAAAAGTGGTCTATTTTTATATTATTTAGACACCACTGATATACGGTAAAGGTAACCATCGTGAGGAAACCTGAACTTATAATTCCTAATGATAAGTTTGAAATCGCGAACGCGCATTGAGCAAGCCTGGTGAGTAATGCTCTAACCTTTTCCGTATGAAAAGGGGCCTTTGCTCAGCTGTGGGCAATTATAGGCTGATGATGATGAATAATATATTCTCGGAAGGTCTAATATCTTCAAAGCAAGTGTCGATCGGCGGGTAATATTTGTTTAATCTGCAAGCAGCGGGCGACATCCAGCCTCACAGTATTGCCACATAATCTAAGCGCTGTATTTAACATCTAACCAGTTATATAAGAAATATTAAACTGAAGCTATCGCCAAGTTTGTCTGTTGTTATTTTTATCTGTTATTTTTATTTATTTTATAAGCGTTTAGTGGTTTTTTTTAATTTAGTTTGGCTAGGTTTTTCTGTCTGTTGTAGTGGTACGGAGGTTAAGAGCCCGCTTTCCACGTAAAAAGGTGCGGTTTCGAAACCTTGACAAGCACGTCAATTCTATAAAATTTGTTTGATTTTGAATCTTGTTCGAGTTTGAGGTGAGCATCGAAGTAACGGGGAAATTACATTATAGAATGCCACCTTTAACGTCATCTCATACTTTATCTATCAAAATGTTGCCGTCAATTTAGTTCAACTCGCAAGTGTAGCGCTAGTGTACACAGCGGATTCAGATTCGAAGTTTAGAATGAAGTCTTACAGAATTACACTGAAATACCAATGTGACTTTTTCCTATTTATATAGACTTTCTTTGATTATTTAAACACCACTGATATACGGTGAAGGAAGACGTCGTGAGGAAACCTAGACTTATAAGTTTGAAATTACAATCCACATTTAGCAAACGATGTTATTAATGGTCAAGCCTTCTCCGAGAAGAGACCTTTGCTCAGCAATGGACACTTATAGGCTGATGGTGATGATGATAAGGTTGGTCAGGTAGGTATCAGTATTGAGTTTTCGTGTAAATTGGATCATCCTAGTCTTCAGTAACCCACGTATTGTTTCAAGAATGGGAAGTGTAATTCTCATTGGTAAGAGTTCGACATAACTCTTTCTTTAGAAAATACACCACAAGAATATCCAAACATTAAAAACAAATTTTGTCAAATAATCATAAAAGATACTAATGAGTTATGGTGTCGAGTTTCTCAGTTAGGCAAATTATTATTAAGTTGTAAATAAAGAGTCAGGAACATGACCTTAATTACATACATATGACTTATCTTTACTCATATTATATAAAATTTGTAAGTTTGTATGTAGGGGGTAATCTTGGGAACCGCTGGTCGGATTTCCAAAATTCTTTCACTGATAGATAGCTACAATATCCTATAAGACATCACGCTATGACTAACTGGAGCCGAGCAGCGGGTGAAACCGTGTGAGAGTAGCTAGTATAACTTATTTTGAATAAAAATTGATGACTTTTTTTTGCAAGGCGGATTGGCAATTTCAAACTTCTATCACAAGAAACAATAGAAAATATGGCCATGTTTATTATGTAAGAGTAGTTGGAATAACAAAAATTTGACATTTCCTCAAATGAAATGAAATTCCAACTTATACTAGAAAAAAGCACTGAATTTGACTTTATTCCATGATTATTATACGACTGAGAAACACTAGGTCTTTTATTTATTGCAAAATTTTAATTAGTTAAAATATTATTAACACTTAACACTTCTCTGCATCACCCTTGCGGTTGGCTAGTAGAGAATGCCTTTGGGAATTAAGACCGCCTTTGTATATATACCTAATTATACATAAAACGTGAAAACAAAAAAACATCATTTGTAACTTGGTGTTTATTGCCCTATTAATAGGAATAATTAGCACACACTATGCTAATTCGGTATTTCTAAATCTATCTACAATTTTCATGATAAAGTCATAAAATTATGCTAAGTTAATTTTCATGATCGTACCAAATTGTAAACATGGAAAAAATAATTCGAGAGTAACATTTTGCACACATAAAGTGTTAGTGCGGCGATGCAGGCTACCCGAGGGAAATTACCGCAGACATTTACCTAGGTCACTCAAAGATCCAGTGCACAGACATAGGTACCCTAAAAAAATACTCAAATTTAGTACTAGGTACTCTAATTTATTTTAATGGCGTTGGGCATTTGTTTTTTTTTCATATTGTTTTTGCTATTCACATTTGATTCTGTGCTTGATTGACAAACACTTTCGAAGTTTTACGTTTAAGAGAATTAGTCGTTCCTTCGTTCGTTTATATTCCTTTTCCTTTTAATAATGTCCCACGGCCTTGAGCAGAAGAAGGAACGGAACGATAGAGCCTATACCCAAATACCACATAGGACCAATCAGCATGGATCTACAATACAGTTATCGGCGTGTAGCGAACCTGGAAATTAATGATTATAAGTCAGTGGATTATAGCCCTTGCCAAGGCTAACAAGACAATCCTCGTCATCAGCACGTACCTAGTGAAGGATTTGATCAGAATCTCCACTCTTAGCAAGCAGCTTTAAGATCGCAATTAGCTTGATTTATTTATGTGAGAGTTCGGCTAACGAACAGATAGATTACCTGATGGTAAGCAATTTG